TCGGGTTTGGGACCTAAGGATGAAGGTGCCCTTTAGGGAAACTGAGTAGACTTCAGAGACACGTCGCACACTGAGTGCGGAAGATGAGGTGACCAGACATGTTACCTCATTGAATCCTGACAAACCCCTGTGAGTAGTCATTATGAATCCTTTTTTATAAGCAAGTTAGCAGAATTCCACAATGCTGGCGTATTGCCCGAAGCCCCATGGCTGGTTTAAGGGACAGAATTGAGATGTCAGGGAACGTCCCTGTGGCTTTGAAGTTCCTGAGAGGTGACAGTCCCTTTGATCCTGTTTCTGCCTAAAAGCCATCATAGTAGTCCAAACAGCCTCCCTGCGCACCCATACAAGCTCTCTGGAGTGATGGTTTGTGCTTAGAGAGTGCTCAAGTAGAGAGACCTGTTCTGCCCTTCCTTTGGTGTTGGCCAGGGGAGAACGAAGAGGAATACTGACTGCCAACCCCTTGTCTTGGGGCCCCCTTCAAATAATTGGCAGCCTGGAGGAGAAGGCGGTTAGCGAAATAGGCCTAGCAGGCAAGGGGACTTGGACTCAGGTTTACACAGCAGCACCTCACCAATCATTCAAGATTAGCAATGGGGAAACCATAGGTAAAAATAGCACTTACTAGTTAACTGGAAAACAATATATTTTTGCAACCACTGCTTCCACGAAAAAATAATTGGGTCCCTAGACAGGTAGTGACTCATATTCATGGATGATTATATTGATCATTGGAGCAAAATGGATACATACCCTTTGAAGAGCCATTCATAGCTGGTCAGCCATGCCCAGTGTGAGATCCTGAGAGGCCACACAAGGCGGAAGAAACGGAGCTGCCAGCTAATGAGGGAGCCAGGTCCTGCCCCAGCACAAGCAGGTTTGGGTTGTTTTGGGGGAGATGCAAATCACAGAACTCACTTCCAACACAGTTCTCCCAAGGGAGGAAAGGAAGAGGATGCATTCAGTTATCAGTTCCTTATTCTGTTTAACCCATTGGGTGTTTTGTTTGTTTCCATTTTTTCCTCCCAGAAGGGATGTACTGGCAGCAAGCGGCACATCGCGATGGAAAAAGGAGGAGGCTGGGAGTATGGTTTCAGCCTCTCCTTTGGCGATGACAGGAGAATGTGACCCCAAGTATTCCCCCTCCCCTTTCTTGGCCATTCAGTCATTCATTCTATAAACAGTTCATCCGACACTCTCTCATCACTAATAAAGAACATGGGTTGTGTGCTTAATGTGTGCCAAGTACTGTTTAGGCACTTCTCATGTGTTAACCCATTTCTTCTTCACAGCAACTGAGAGTAGGTGCCATTAGCTGGATTTTGCAGACGAATCGAAGAAAGGATAAGTAACTTGACCAATATCACTCCCCCGGCGAGTGACAGACAGACATTACACACTCTGCTGGAGGCTGGAGACAAAGCGTGCAACATGGACATAGTTTGCGGCTTCGTGGGGCTTATTTGATCTAATGTGCTGGGAACAGTGAAACAAATAAAAGTACAAAGTACTTCTGTGAACAACTTGGGGGATTGAGGGGGAAGATTCCCAGGCCCAAGGTCATGGCATCCTTTGGTTATTCGGGAGAGCATTTACTGGCCGCTCTGGGCAGAGTGCTCTCAGAGAAAGAAGGCACCAGAGTGGCTCCCAGCCTCCGCCGGGAGCTGATGCTGGCGTTAGTGATGGGAGTCCGGTGCTCTCATTGACAGGTGTGGAAACCAAGGTTCGGAGAAGGGCAGGTGTTTGGGACTCAGCTTACCCCAAACTCCCAGCCCCAGGGCCAGGCTGGTGAGAAGGATTCCTGCAGGCATATAGGTAGTTTTGTGGCAGAGTTCAGAGACTGGGACCCAGGCCTCCCCACTCCCAGCCCGCAGCTGTGCATGTCAGCAGTGGCTCTGGTGCCAGGCTGGCTGGATGCTAAGTCCCACCCTAGATTCAGATTCAGTGGGCTGGGGTGGAGCCTGGGTGTCTGTACCTTTTTTAACGTTTCCGAGGGGATTCAGATCGGAACCAGCTTTAGGAGTTCCTCTGTGGAGTAAGGAGAAATGAGCAGATTCTGGAGCGTGGACTTGAGCCGGAGCAGGAAGGGGGTCACCAAAGGTTACAAAAGCAGTCACTTCTCCGTGGAGCCTGGAGGGGAGCTGCAGAGGCAGGTTTGGGTAGGACTTAGAGGCAGCTGGAACCTAAGCCTTCATGCTCTTCTTGGTGAGCGGGAGGGACAGTAGGCTCCTGTTGGTTGCAGCTCCCTCCCGGGCAGGTTTGTGAGCAAACCTGTGAGTGGGTCCACACACACACACAGATCCAGGCCCAGGGCGGGTACCACATGGCGACTCCTGCTTGCCTGTCCGCAGGCTGCCTTCGTGATTGTCTGCCTCCAGTTTTCTTGAGGGGCAAGACCTGTGTTTTCCGTTGGGTGCCTGAGAATCCCTGGCATCAGGGTGCAAAGCCCAGGGAGCTCAGTCAGTGATTAGCGACAGATGAGTACGGAGGTGTTTGCTGGACAGGAACAGCTGTTGTTCGTCCAGCCCCTTTAAGCCCAGGGGCCAGGCCTGGCTTTACCATCCCCTTGGCCTTCCTGATGAGGCCACGCAGCTGTCGGTCTGTTTCCGCAGCTGGGCCAAGGCACAGAGAAGGGCGGCTATTCATTAGGTTACCCCGGGAGCCTGGGCTGAGCTGAGCCTGGAATTCACATCTGCGCCCTGTTTGCAGTCCATAAGACCCCACCCTTATTCTGCCAAGGGGAACACCAATATGATCGAGAAACCGTTTTTCTTTGGCTCTGAATGGATTTGCCTGCAGACAGATTCACCATCCTTATTATGTCCTAGACTAAAGGTAAATTAATTTTCGTTCCCGGAGTACAGAAAAGCAGGGGTCTAGACTCAGAGTTAGGAGCTTTGGATTCTATCCAGCCTCCACGAACAGCTGTGGCTCTGGGCCAGGCCCTTCCCCTCTCCGATCCTCCATCTGCTGCTGTAGGTGAAGGGTTAGTCTGTCCCAAGCCCTGTTACGCAGCGGAATGGCCGGGGCACCGCCGTCCCAGGATTCAGACTCAGTCTATTTCGACAGGGTCCTGGTTCTGTGGACGGGCAGGAGGCAGTCTCAGCCACATGGCCTTCAGGCTCTTTCAAACAACTGGCAAAGCCCCACTGACCCGAGACGGCGGCTTGCTTCCCCTGTTGAGATGTCAGGACCCTGTGGAGAACTAGCTTTTGCCTTTTCACTCAGACACGACCTATTCTTAAGTCCCATCCCATTGTTCCAGATGGGTCTTCAACAGGAGAGTGGCTGACTCATTGATTTACAGACGCAGGACAAAGTTGGGATTTAAAAGGCTGTCCAGCTGCAGTGGAGTAGATGAACTTATTTTTGACCACGGAACCTCTCCTTCACTCCTTTCTGTGAGCTGGAGGGAGGCCCCCTGGAGATGACTCCAGTCTCAGATCGAGAGAAATGCTTTGGAAGTGGCTTACTAGCTCCGAGCTCTCCGTTTGGATGATGAAGCCGGTGGATAGTTCCCTCTCTCTGCCCTGGCTTCCGGGGGGGGGGGGGGGGGGGGGCGGGCGGGAGGAGCTCGGGCAGATTTAAACCTTTAGGTTGGTCCCCGAGCTGCTCCCAGCCACCCACCCCCTCAGCCCTCATCGGAGCAGTCGCCTCCCCTGCCATTTGGGGTGTCCTCAGGGAGCAAACTCCTTTCAGCATAAGCCCAAGCACAGTATAATTAGGACAGTAAATCTGCTGTTTAACAACAACAAAAAGGCATGACAGATTTCAGGGTTCAGGAGACGTGGTTTGACGCTGAAGGAAAGATGGGAAGACCAGACCTTCAACTACATTTATTTCAGTCTGGCAACAAAGCTCAAGACATGGTAACCCTGTGTACTTCAGCTAAAGCAACATGGCTTTTTTTTTTTTTTTTTTTTTTTTTACAGAAAGGGAGAGGGAGAGAGAAACATCAACCTGTGTTCACCTTATTCGTGTATTCAGTGGTAGATTCTTGTATCGATATGTGCCCTGACTGGAGATCGAACCTGCAACTCAGGGGTATCAGGACGATGTCTAATCTATTGTTAGATGGTCTTGAGGTTGCAGGAATGGGGTCATAAACTTTTTCCCCTTGCAATCTGACTAACCCCCACTTTCCACCCCACATCACCATCACTTCCTTTACGGTCTCAGGCAGGGTACCAAGAGTTTCATAAATGTTTTCTCATGCAGTCTGCACAGCAGCCTCTGAGACAGGTTCGATCACCCCATTTTATGCATGAGAAAACTGAGGTTCAGAGAGGCAAGTGACTGGCCTGGGGTTGCACAGCATGTAAGTGAGGAACTGGATTTGAAGAGGTCCATGTTCTAACATTCGTGCTGTATGCTGCTGCTCAGTCTGAGAGCTGCAAGTCACACCTAGCTCAAAGTTATCCCCACCCAAGCCTGCCATCCCTTCCTCGCACTCCTTTTTGGCACGACCCATACCTCCCTAAACCTCAGACTTAGTGGCCACGGAACCACTGCTTGCCGTTGAGGTTTTCATCTGGTCCACTTCTTGGCTGAGGAGGAGGGATTACTCATCTCGGTCTAGAATAGCCACCCAGATAGTCCTACTGCTGGTGTTAGGGTGGGGCAGGCCGGCCCTTTCTTTCTGAGAGCCTAGGTGTGCCAGACTAGAAAGTGCAGGCTGGGGCCTGGCTGGTGTGGCTCAGTTGATTGAGTGTCTTCCTGTGCACCAAGAGGTTGCTGGTTCCATTCCCAGTCAGGGCACATGCCCAGGTTGCAGGCTCGATCCTCCATCAGGGTACGTGCAGGTAGCAGCTGATCAGTGTTTCTTCTTCACATTGATGTTTCTCTCTCTTTCTCTCCCCACCCCCCCCCCCCACACACACACACACAGGCAGGTCCTGTGGTGGCTCATCCTGATTGGCTGAGCTTGCCCCCTACCCCTGCTCCAGGGATTGTCCAACTTCTGGGACTCCAGCCTCACTGCCCGCCTTCTTCCCGGGAAGATGTTCCTGGTGGGCCTGACAGGGGGCATCGCCTCCGGCAAGAGCTCCGTGCTCCAGGTGTTCCAGCAGCTGGGCTGTGCGGTGATTGATGTCGACGTCATCGCCCGCCATGGTGAGTGAGGGGTCAGGGTGTGGGATTGTCCATGGCAGCTCCCTGTGCTTCCTTTTCATAGGCCCTCCAAGGCCTCCGAGTTGGGGAAGACTTCCCTTTTGACCCTGGCTGACGTCCTGCTCCGTGCTTCATGCTTGTCCTCTCACTTTTCTCTTTACTCCTCCATCTCGTTAGAGGTCTCCCCGCCTTCACCGCACCCCATGACCAACTCAAGGGACTCTGTGCACTTTGCTCTCTTCCTTCCCCTCATTTCACTTTTGCTTCTATTGAAAGGAGCAACCCTGGTTCCCCCATCATTTTGCCTCTCGCATTGAGTGACCTCTGGCTGGCCTAGAGGCTCCGAAGAGGGACCCAGCCTTCCTCTCTTGCCACAGTGGTCCAGCCAGGATGCCCCGCCCACCGGCGCATCGTGGAGGCTTTTGGCACTGAGGTCTTGTTGGAGAATGGAGACATCAACCGCAAGGTCCTGGGGGACCTGATATTTAACCAGCCCGACCGGCGGCATCTGCTCAACACCATCACTCACCCTGAGATCCAAAAGGAAATGATGAAGGAGACCTTCAAGTACTTCCTTCGGGGTAAGACCCAGGGCCTGGGACGAGTGTGGACAAAGCCCTCTCCTGCCAGGGCCAGGGCCAGGGCCAGGGCCCTTCTCCTCTGCAGAAAGGTCGGCGGTGGGGGAGGCTGGATGTCCGGGCTGGAGAGTTCACACTGTTGGCATCACTCCCATGCAGAGCCCCATACCAGTCCCAAAGGAAAGAAGCACATGTCCCTCAACTCTTAAGGAGGTTGACAGTTTATTTATTTATTTTTCTTTAAAAAAAATATTTTATTGATTTTTTTTTTTTTTTTACACAGAGTAAGAGCGAGGGATAGAGAGTTAGAAACATCGATGCCTCTTGCACACCCCCTACTGGGCATGTGCCGGCAACCAAGGTACATGCCCTTGACCAGAATCGAACCCGGGACCTTACAGTCTGCAGGCCGATGCTCTATCCACTGAGCCAAATCGGTTTCGGCAAGGAGGTTGACAGTTTAATGAGAAGAGACCCTTTTGAGCCATGATCCCCAGGAAGTAAGTTGATTTTTCTAGCAGGGACAGGAGTAATAACAGCTGATGAGTAATGGGGTCATAAGACCTGAGTTTAAGGCCTGGCTCTCACAGTTTCTAGCTGTTTGGCTTTGTCCATGAGCCAACCCCTCTGCCTCTTTCCTCATCTGCATCAGGAGACTAAGAATGCCAACCTTGCAGGGCTATTAGGGTGACTAAGAGCCCACGTCAGAGACTGTCCATCACCCCACAAATAGAAACTACAGTCAGAGTTGGGTTTGGGGCTGGTCACGCCTCCTGGGAAAGTGAGTTAGCAGACAAGAAAAGGGGGAGGACCCAGGAGGGCCAGGGCGGGTGGAGGAGGGGTTCTGAGTGGAGGACGAGCCTTTGGGGCTAGGGCTCATGGAGTTAGCCTGGCATGGGCAGCGGAGGCCAGGTGCCTTACTGGACCGAAAGGAGAGGAGAGTGTTTGAGAAGCAGGGGTCTGTGGTCAGCTGGCAGGAACCTTGCGCAGCTGTTGCTAACCTTTTCCCAACCAGAGGCCACAGTTCAGGTCCTGTTCTTCAGGACGGTGTTGGGCAGGGTGACCTACTACTTTCTGTCCACGATGGAGTCGGTCACCAGAAGTGGGTGAGCAGAGGGCCGTGGCTTGGGATCGGGCGAGAGGCTAGCCCAGGGCCCCTGCAGCCTTTGGCGTATGTGGCCTCCAGTCTGCGTCTCAGCATGGAAGGCCTGGCTGCGTGTCTCCCCGCTGTCAGTCATGATGCTGAGACTTTCCTTCCTGGAGGGTATGAGCCAGGCTTCCAGGTTTCCTTCTAGCTTTTGCCCTGTGATCCTGGCCAAATCCTTTCCTTTCTCAGGCATCAGGTTCTCATGTACAGAGTGGGGTATCCCACCCCCGTCTGGCCAGACCTTTCTCCAGAAGGAAAGGGATGACTTCACAGACATCCATGGTGCATCTTCCCTGCTAGACCGGCTTTTGCTCTGCATCTCAGTACCTTGCCGCAGGCCTGCCTCTCTTCCTCCCTTCCTCCCTTCCTGGAACTCTTCCTCCCTTCCTTCCTCCCTCCCTCCTTCCTCAAGGAGAGTTTCTAGATTCTTTTTTTGTTCTGCCTCTTGTGTCTGTGCCAGGATCCCCTCCTGCCCCCACCCAGGCGCGAAGCCTTCTGCCTTTCATTTGTGCCCTTTTGCGTTCACTCCCAGGCCAGTTGCAAGTACATCTGCGGGGCTGTGGGAGAGCAGCGGCTTTCCGCTTATGAAATTAAGCGTCGGATAATGTCACCTGCTCCAGAGTCCTCCCGCAGTATCATCCACCCAGCCTCCCCTCTCGCTAACCACCGCCACTTAAATAAAAGCCAGAAAGCTCTTTTCAGCTCGATAAGGTGAAAAATGGGGACGACAGCTGTGGCTTCTGCAGTCCCAGCTTCTCCCTGATGGCTGTAACAAATACAACTGTCAGAGCTGGTATAATCAAACGTCAGATAAGATCACCAGCTGTTGGGGAGGTCTCTGTGTAGGCAGGCGGATGTCTTAATAGAGTCAGGATAGTTTGCAGAGCTTATCAAGCAGGAGGGCTGTGACAGCTGAAAAGCCCTTTTGCCCGTGAACCAAAGAGCTGGCCACGCGCTCCCGAGAGGGGCAGAGGAGAAAGGGCAGTGAGGGGAGAGGATGGGATGGGAGCGGAGCAGGAAAAAGAGATAAGAGGCCCAGAGAGGATCTCGCCCTGACTCTTGTTCTGAGTTTGGGGGGAGGGAGGGGAGGACAGCGGGGGAGCCAGTCCTGCAGGCCTCCCCTCTTCAGAGAAGAGCAGTAATAATAACCATCATTTATGAGGCATTTAATGAGGATCTGGATGGGGGGGTGTGGTGTGGTCTACATGATTTCCTTCATTTAATCCTTCTCATCTTCTTGTGAAGTAGGTAGTCTTTTCATTCATTTACACAATGAGGTTTATTAAGGGGCCCGAGGTGACATGGTAAGAAAGTGGGGCGCTTCAAACCCAGGCGTGTTATCAGAGCCCATTCTTTTAACCCCTCGTTGACTAGAAGGTTCCTGAGCAATAGATCCCGGGGAGCAGAAACTCAGCAGCTCGTGTTGTCACTGTTCCCTGCGTCACCCTTGGCTCCCGTGGAATTGGTGCGTGATGTGTGTCTGGTTCTGTCGGTGGGAGTGTTTGCAGTGGGACACCAGCCAAGCCGGGCAGGGGTCTCCAGGCAGAGCAGTGCCTGTTCCTTCCTCTTACGGCTCCTGGACCCCCGCCAGCTTTATTGCGCCTGCACTGGGGTCACTGGCATAGAGAGAACTAAAAGTGTGGAGCCCACAGTATTACTGGGTGGGCAGCCCAGGGGTGTGCCCGCTCCCAGTGGGTGAGGGTGCCACCATTGCCCGGTCGTGGCTTGTAGTAGGAGGGCCAGCCAGTGCTTTTGTGCCACTGGAGTTAGTTTAGTCTTAGCCATAACCACCGTAGCACCTCCAGCCCCAGCCCTGCATTCCCAGGCTGCAGGTCTGCCTCTGACCCTAAAAAGCAGCCTCCTTCCGGTTGGGGCTGCTGCCGCCACCCGCATGTGAGTCTCCCATGGAGAATTGATAGAGATAGTCATACGGGACTCCAGCAGGAAGCCAGCTTGGACCTGGCTGATGGGGAAAATGTTTTTTTTTTTTTTTTTTAACAAAGGTGGGTGAAGCAGAACAGAAAGGGCCCAGTCACTCCTGGAAACTCTCCCCAGTTTCCTACAATTTTGGCTGTGTCATTTCCCTCCTCAGAAATAACTCTTTGGGTTCAAGTTCAAGGTGAAGTCAATGCTTTGTGCCTGCCTGACCGCCTCGTCAGTTTTGCCCCCCACTGCTCCAGGCCTCCACCTCAGCCAGAGCATAGGACCTTGCTTTCCTTGTGATTTGCTGTTCCCCATTCCTGGAACCCTCCCTTTCACCCATTCATTCTCAGGTATCGGAAGTCCTACATGCCTTGCGAGGCCAGTACCAACGCCATTCCTTCTACCAGGTCTTCCCTGCTCATCCGGCCAAAAACAACTCTGTGCAGCATTCTGTTCTGAATGGAACTGGCTGGCTGTCGGGTTATGCCTGTCCTGGGAAGGCCTCCCCCGCTTTGGGGAGCTTTCAGCGGTAGGAGCCAGTGGCGAACTCGGTTCCCACACCTAATACATAGCGACTCCTCAGTGTGTGCTTGCAGACTTGACCTTGTGGCTTTCCCACCTTTTCTCCAGGATACCGCTACGTGATTCTGGATATCCCTCTGTTGTTTGAGACCAAGAAACTGCTCAAGTACATGAAGCACACGGTGGTGGTGTACTGGTGAGTGTGTGGCATTGTCTGGCCTAACTGAGGCTAGAAAGAAGCATCCCTGAGTAAGACATGCACTTGAGAAATGGCCCACATCACTGTGCCCTTTCCTCACGGGGCGGCCCGGGAGCACAGGGGGTAGGGGCAGCATTGCCCGGAGCCCACAGAAACTAACCTCTGTGTCTGACCCAGGAATGCCCCGGGGTAGGTGTAGGAAGGGATGGACCCCTAGGCCTCTCTAGAGCTTGGGAAGGGCTCCCCCTGCTGGCTGCTGGAGGCACTTCAGCCCAGATTCCAAGCCTTGCCTTGGCCTACCATGTTGTTATTCACTGGATCCTGTCCCCCTCCTCCAACACTTCTCAACTTTCCAAACAGCTCCCACATTTACTATTTCACCCAATTTTCTTTTCAACGTGACGTATTCAGGTTGATACTTCCGAGCTATAGGAGAGAAAATGTGTGTGTGTGTGTGTGTGTGTGTGTGTGTGTGTGAGTGTTGCGGGGGGCGGGGGGGGGTGGTACATGGGGAGAGATAACCAAATTTGTTCAAGGTCTCCCACTGGCAGCACCTTTGGATGGAAAGTTGCAGAGAGCGAACTGTCAGAGCCCAGCTAAGGAAGGAGCTTTGTTCTCAGAATCCCCCAGGATATGAAGCAAACCCGAATCCAGGTTTGACAAACAGAGGAGGATCAAACTGTCAGAAAAAAAAATGAGTCATAGTCCCAGGGGGGTGACAGAACAGATGAGTGTCTCTGCCTCCCAGAAACTTCCTGGATGCCGCCCACACGGAAAGCAGACACAGAGTGGGCACTGGGCTCTGCGGCACTTGGGCACTGAGCGGCTCTCGGGAGACTACTGCTTGGGAAGTTTCTAGAACACTAGAGATGGGGCCTAGAGCACTCAGAGCCCTGAGCATCACCCTGCCCGCCCTCCCCTCTGCCCCCCAGCTCCCCACCATAGGCTGTCATTTAAAACCTTGTCTGAGTCTGCTGAGCCTGGTGTGGAGACACAGGCTTCCTCACAGCTCCCGCTGGGGGCCGTGTCTCCCCCTGTAAACCCACAACCTCTCCGGGTTCTTTGTCCCATTTTTGAGAGACTATCACCTGAGGCCAAGCAAACTCCAGAAGACTTGGAGTCTTAATACAATTGGAACTTTGTACCAAGGGATCCAAATAAAAAGGATCTGGAGTGCAGGTGAGCAAACAGATTGCAGTCACCTACCCTTGCCACCTTCCTCTTTCTGCACTTTCCTTCGAGGTGTGTCTGTTGGCTAGCAGCAGAGATAGCTATGGCTCCTGACAGGTAAACGGGGCTTTGTAGATTCTTCCCGTTCCCCTGGAGATCCCCCAGCCCCACTTACCAGCCAAAGAATCTTTGCCAAAGTCCTGGGTGCTGTTCATTCCCCAATTTTGGCACATGTGGGTGTCTGACTCAAAAGAGATGCCAGAGATATGAATAAATGAGTTTAATGACTTGCTTTTCATAAAAGGGATCTACACTTTACAATGTGAATTTACAAGTGAGGTTTCCCTCGTGGATTCCTTTTCCTGTCACACGAATCCTGATGCGTTTGAAATAGTATGGGGCATTGACCAAAGCATGATTGTGGAGTTAGTGTTTGTAAAAATCTCGTTACTACAAATAGCATTAATCCTTAAACTGTCACCTGGGATTATTTTGGGTCACATTTTAAGAGGCCCTCTGGTCTAGGCCACACCTTCCAAAGGATGTGCACTCAGGGGTCCCTAAGCCATCTCCATTTTCTCACCCCAATTTCCCAGCCCTAGACCGGAGATATTCTTGTTCCGTATAGTTCTAAGGTTGGATATAGTTCTCGTTCTCAGCCAGGCAGGGATTGGCCCCATGACCTTGACAGCACGCTGTCCCCATAACAAAGGAAATCAGTCCTACTTACTTTTCAAGGCCATTACTAATGCCATCTCTTCTGAAAGGTCTCCCTGAGCAGCCAGCCAGAAATGACTTTCTGCAACATTTCGTTCTGCATTTTGAGCGGAATCGGAAGGGAACTGGCTAGTGTTCAGGTCATATCTGTCCTTAGGTCTGTCTTCACACCCCAGGAGGCCTTCTGGTGTAGGCCAGACCTAAGAGAGGACCACATTACAGTGATCTATCCCCCATCTTATAACCGGGAAATCCCAGGCCCAGTGGCAAAGCAGAGAGGCCCCAATGGCAGAGAGCAGCTGCTGTGGCCCTTTTCCTTTGTTCCCATCGAGGGGCTGAGGTGGGCATGGAGCTAGAAGGATGTTAGAGATTACCCTGCCCCAGAGCCCGGCGGGCAGCTCCTGTGTAGTCACAGGCAGGACAGGGAGCTTCCTGAGGAAGGACCCAGGTATTACCACAGTGGGCCAAAGAAGCATCCTTTGAATTGCCTTTGGCGTGGGGAGACTGGGGGCTGTTCAGCTTAATGTGCAGCGCTGTGTCCTGTCCCAGGGACTGGGGGCATCCGATTTGCAAGCCTTGGCTCCCCTAGAAGCATCTTGGGGCTGGCCCATCCCCCTTCACAGGTGGCATCAAGCACAGCAGCCACCATTTCCGGCAGGTCCTTTAGCTCTAAATATGCGGGAGTGCGAGTGGGAGTGGAGCAGCAGGGAGGGGGTCCTTGTGGTGGCCCAGGAAGCTATTTTTGATGCGGCAGGCCCGTCCCCAAGGGAAGTGCAGAAAGCATTGAGCTTGCAGGCACAGGCCTTCCAGTAAAGGTCACTGATATAGAAGATCAAATCCCCCCATCTTATAACTAGGAAAGCTCAGGTCTGGTGGCGAAGCAGATTGGCCCCAGATGGCAGAAAGCAGCTTTTGCAGCCTTTCCCCTTGTTTATGTCAAGCCCACCATGCTACCAGAGCCCTCACAGAGCAGGGAGAGTGGGGGGCAGCCTGTGAGCTGCCAGGCTCCCTTCCCTGGCTGCAGGACCCTAAATGGATTTGAGAGAAGGGGCTGCCCACCCCTTTAACTTGCTGGTGGGGAGGGAGCCTGGGGCCCACAAAGCCTGCTCAGCCCTTTTGCCCTGTCCGTAGCGATCGGGACACGCAACTGGCACGCCTGATGCGACGGAACAGCCTGAACCAAGAGGACGCGGAGGCTCGGATCAACGCTCAGCTGCCCCTGAGGGACAAAGCCCGCATGGCCCGCCACGTTCTAGACAACTCGGGCGAGTGGAGCGTCACCAAGCGCCAGGTCATCCTTCTGCATGCCGAGCTGGAGCGCTCCCTGGAGTACCTGCCCCTGAGGCTCGGGGTCCTCACAGGTCTGGCCGGCATCGTTAGCCTCCTCTACTTGCTCACCCGCTGCCTCCTGCCTTCCCCCTAGCCGGGCCCTCCAAGGCAGGAAGCCCCTGGATCTCCTCAGAAGCTAGGTAACAAATGCATCCTGTTTCCTTCAGCCTCTTCAGCGCTCTCTCTCTCTCTCTCTCTCTCTCTCTCTCTCTCTCTCTCTCTCTCTCTCTGTGTGTGTGTGTGTATATATATATATATATATATATATATATATGCTGGAGCCCTGCCCCTTCTTTGGGGTACATTCTGTCTGAGGCAAAGAAACATCCCTGCCTATAGATATTCCTTCCTACCTTCCCTGGGGCTCCTCCCTGTAGAACCACTGACAGTGTCCGCAAATGTGAATGCTCCGGTGGCCATATTTAGTGCCCCATTTCCCAGAGAAGTGGAGGGATCTGATCCAGGTTGCAGCCACGTTTCAGGATCCTGCCCACTGGACCCCTGAGCTTCCTCCAGGAGAAGCAGATCTGGGATTGTGACCTGGTCTTGTCTCCTGTTTCCTGGGACATGAAAGCACCCGTGGGAGACATGACCAGTTTCTTGTGGGTGGGGGTGAGGAACACTACCCCTGGGGCCCAGTAGTAGTGAGGTTCCCTGGGCTTGGACAGGCCCAAGGAACTGAGCACACGCTCCATTGCGGCCAAAACCTCCTTCATGGACCAAGGACTACCATCTTCAGACAGGACTCCCCCTTGGGTTGGTGCCTTGGACAGGACGCTGTGAGGATTCCCTGTGGGTGACGCGGTAGTTGGCAGAGGCCAGGCCTTTCTGGGATGACCCACTCTCCCACGTGGGCACTTGTCCAGCACTCCCCTCACCCTGCTCACCACCGCCCCCCACCCTGTACCTCCCGCTCCCTGGACTCCTAGCCCTGAGCTCTTGGGAGGCCACGTGTGCCAGGCTGTTTCTGATCTCTGTGCCTTCGCTGTGCTACTCCCCGCCTGGAATTGTGTGTGTGGTTTGTTCCCTATAACTGGCTCCCAGCCCGGGCTGTCTGAAGCCCCAGGCTGGGTTAGGTGCTCTCTGATACCACCATCATGTTTTATCCGAATCATGTTTTATCATAATGTAGTCATCAGCCCAAAGCTGGTTGGTCTCTCTACTAGATTGTAAGCCCTTTGAGGGCAGGGATCGCCTGATTCATCTCTGTTCCTGGTGCAGAGCCTGCCTTGCTGTTGGTGCTGAATAAAGCGTGTTCTGAAATGCCCTGCTCTGCCATTGTTCCCCTAGCACCACGGACCCGTGAAGGTGCCCAGACTGGGCTGATACCACTTGGCCTCCTCCCACAGGGAAGCCTGGGCCCCAGAAGGTACCGAAGCCCCCCTGCCTTCTCCTGGGGCCCCAAGAGGATTCCAGTTCGGCCCCCGTGTGCCCTTGGGAGAGGCAGGTGGAGGTGCTGGGGCAGCATCACACCCCCTTACTCCATCTTCCTTCCCCAAGCCAATTAGACCGGCATAGACGTCAGCTTTCCCTGGCCAGCGCCAGCAGACCTGCTGATGTGATCCTGCGTGCAGCCAGCAGCCTATTAAGGCCAGGAATGAGCTGACAAATGTGAACGCTCTGGTGGCCATATTTAGTGCTCCATTTCCCAGAGCTGCTCCGACCTCGGAGACCAGCTTATTAACTCACCGCAAACCCCCAGGGGCAGAGCCTGGGCTTCGGGGTGGGGCTGGGCAGGATGAGAAAGGCAGAAAGCAGCTGCTTCCTGGGTTCAGTGGAACCTGGCAGGAGGGGTAAAAGGGAGGAAAGGTATGGACCCCGCTTTGAGGTACCAAAGTGTCCTGTTACCCTAGCCATTGAGAGGATGACTGTCATGTGGTGGACTAGATGTGCAGCACTCTAGAGGTGACATAACATTGATCATTCCGATCCCAGGCCCAGAGAAGTGGAGGGATCCGATCCCGGTTGCAGCCACGCTTCAGGATCCTGCCTACTGTGCCCCTGAGCCTCCTCCAGGGGGAGCAGTTTTGGGATTGTGACCTGGTCTTGTCTCCTCTTTATGTGGCCTCCTGGCCTTGTGTCTTCTATCAGGTAGACAGGATGTCAGAGGATGGCCAATCTGGAAGGTCCTCCCCAGTGCCCTAGTCCCACCACAACCCCATTTCCTGTCCTCACACCTCCCTCCGCACCACTTCCTCACGCCCAGCGTAGCCTTAGAAAAACGCCTACTTTCCCGGGGCTTGACGACATGGTTAGGCCATGGATGGAGCTCCAAAGGCCCTGGGACAGATTGGGAACAGCCTGGAAACAGCCAGAGCCAGGCCACCTGGAGCCCCAGCCCTACACCCCGGCGGGCGGCATCCCCTCCGGCCAGCAGGTGGCAGCACCCGCCCGGGTTGGGGTCGGACCTCTGCAGTGGGCACTGGCGAAGTTCCTACTAACTTTCTCCCGGTGGCATTCTTGCAGGGCTGCCTCCACCAAGCACCAAGCTGCTGCAGGGGCTGGAGGGAGGGGAGGGGGACAGAGGCACTGCCGCTGGGTCCTGGGCGTTAATTAAGAAGCTGTGTTGGGCCCAGCTGGGGTGCTTCAGTGGTTGACTGTCGACCTATGAACCACAAGATCAGGGTTCAGTACCCGGCCAGATTGCAGGTTCGATCCCCAGTGTGGGGCCTGCAGGAGGCAGCCCATCGATGATTCTTTCTCACCATTGATGTTTCTAACTCTCCCTGTCCCTTCCTCTCTGAAATCAATAAAAATATGTATTAAAAATAAAAAGAAGCTGTGCTGTGTCCCCATCCTGCCCTACCCACCCTTCGGAGGGCAAGAGCCCCTGGCTCCCACCCTTCAGCTGGACTTGGACACTGTGCTCTGTCCCCCGCTACCACCCTGACCGGAGCAAGGAAGACACCAGCGAGGGCAGCACAGCACCCGCCTCCTGGGGAACGAAGGGGACAGACAGGCCCCACCCCACCAGCAGGCTGGCCCTCGGGTACCTGGCAAAGCTGTACAGTTTACGAAGCACGCTCCTGTGGTTATCTCCTTGAAACCTCCCGACTCTGTGAAGGAGGCCAGGCTGGAATTGCCCAGAGGCTCAGAGGGTGAGCCGCGCAGTACAAAAGCCAACAGGCACAAAGGCCAAATTCCTGGGCCCCCACCCAGTGCTCCTCTCACTGCCTGCATCGCCGCCATCAGCTATGCCTCCGCGCTTTGTCCAGGAGCTGTTGTCAGTCCTGATGGTTAGCCTCTCTCTGCTTGGGGAGCGGCAGGGGATGGTCGGGCACTCCATGGAGAGCCTCCGTGGCTAGAAATTGGATGAGAGGGATAGCCACATCTGCTGGGTACCCCTGGTTCTTGCTAAGACCTCTAGGCCAGGAGGAGCTGGCGGTAGGGGCAGGAGAGGGAATGGGGAGGCAGTGATGTCCCTATGCCATAGGGGCACATAGGGGTGGGCAGGGGAGACCCCTGAGGCGGCCAGAGAGAAGGGGGTGGGGAAGCCCTGTGGGTTGCATTCCTGCTCCTTCCCATAAAGGGCAGATGTGGCTGGTGGCGCCTCTATCCCACCCCCAGAGCTGAGGCTGCTCTGAGCTGGGGCCCAAAGAGTCTCCTCTATTTTCCCCCCTCCCCTTCCCCTCCTCCCCTCCCTGTCGCTCAGATTCCAATACAATTTCCAGCTAACCAGCATGTCGATAGAACAAGTCGGGCAGCCGGATTGCTGGCCAATTACAGGAAATCATTCTGCTCCACAGCTCAGCACCCAGGGAGAAGGCAGGCGGGAGGAGGGAGAGGATGTGAGGGAGTAGGTACCCAGCTCCCAGGCTGGGAAGGGGCTTGAGGCAGGGAATGTGGCAGCCCCTGGCAGGAGCTGGGAGGGAAAGTGGTGGGGTACAGGGAAGCTTATGGATTCAGCTCCTCTGTGATGAGAGAGACCTGGGGGTGAGGGCTGATGAGCAGGGTTGGAGCAGAAGGGGGACAGAGGGGGGTTGTGAGACCAATCTCCCCCAGAGCCCTGTTTGTGTTGGGAATGGGGATGGCACTCAGGCCTCCCTGGACCAGAGTGCCACAGGGCCATCTGATCACCTAGAGACTGGGGCCCACATGGGCAGCACCTGGGCTTCCACACCCAGCTATGGACCAAGACTATTGGGGGGGTGGGGGCAGAGGGAGAGGGAAGGAAAGGGGCTCCCTATGCAGCTGATTGGTCCAGCAGCAGCGTCACTCAGTGAAGGGGTAAGTGTGGAAGCAATCGTTCACCCCAGAAGGTGGGCACAGAAGTATGGGAGGGGACAATGGCCTCCTCATTTATTTTCCCGGCACCTCAGCCTTATTTCCCCACTGCGGCCCTCAAGACCCTTTCACTCACATCAAAGGACCCACATCTCCTCCACTTCCCATCTGTCTCCCTGGGCCCATACCTCTGGCATCTCTTTGCCAACTCCACCCCCACCCTTCCTCAGATCTTTCCCAGAACGGTCTTAACTACCCCCCTCTCCGCCGGGGCAGACTATCCAGCTGACCCGGGGATGCCCCCGCTTCCCAGCACCAATGACTAGCTCCCCTTCCCCGTCCTGGGCTCACTCCCACAGAGTCCTGGGAGATCCTCGAGGGCCAGAAACATCCCTGTGGATTACTCTACTCAGAGAATGACTATGTCTCTGTCTTGTGCCCCCAAAAGAGGCCACTGTCACCCCGTGATCCCTTCCCCTGCCCCTGGCTGTGGCCGCCTCCCCAGCCCTCTTCCCAGTCCCCAGCATCTCACCGCTCCCTCCCCCATCCCCAAGCCCTCCCCTTCAGTCACTTTCAGGGTGGAGCCTGGGTTGGATTCACCCTCCTCACTTCTCCCAGCCCAAGTGTAGACAGGTGGGCAGACAAGCCAGAGGGGATGGACACCCGCCCCCCGCCCCCAGGGCCCCAGGCGCCTGCAGCACGCAGGAAGCACTCAGTGAGAGCTGTTGACCAGCAAGGCCACCATCCAGTTCCTGTGGTGGGTGCACCGGGAGCGGTTCAGCACCCTGGGCTTCTTCCCCGCTTCCTGTCCAAGTACCCGGGCTTGGGCTGGGGGTTGGGGTGTCAGGCTAGTCCTATCTGTGTCCCCAG